AACGAACGACTAAATAATAACTAATCAGACGGTTCCACATGAAACATGGCACAGGGCAGCGTCTTTTGCTCATGTCAGTTATTTCGAAATACCTTTTCTCTACGCGGCAGTAGAAGTACTGTGAAGCAGAATAAAGAGCTAACAAACTAGTCATTTGGATATTGACCTATTACAGGATATCAAAAGCCTAGCTGGCCGTAAAATAAATCATGTATTTTTCAAATCTTGCTAAAAATCGCATTAATGACCGCCATATCGATTTAAACGTTCTTCACTGAAGTCTCAGAAGTTCAATAAAGACTCACTTTATTGAATACCTGAAACAAAGAAAAAAAACGAATTTAAATCCGCCATTTATTAGATGACTTTTAAATTCGTCGGCTATTGCCTGTACAGAACAACGTTCGACCTTTGGAAGGTTTTTGTTTAAAACACATATATGCATTATTTGTTGCAAATTATTAGTTTGACCTAAATAAAGTTTTCGACGACGTTAATAAGAAACAGTTGATCAATAAATTAACAATAGTTAATTTGTGGCGGTGATAATTTTTTCATTAGGTCTTATTATTTACTGGGAATTAGGTCAAAAAGCTTAGAAATGGGTATCAAACCTGTTGTCCCTCAGGGGATCATTTTAACCATAAGTTCTATCTATTATGGCGAATATGAGCGAAAGTACTTATTACAATGTCAAGAATTAGTCCTAGAAATACGAATGGTGAAATAAACAAACCGGTAAAGGTCTTACCAATGTAGACCCAAATGTCAAGAATAAATTTGAATCTTTTTTAGAAAGAAACGAATCCGGTTTATGTACTATCACACTTGCGCCGTACTGCCCAAAACGATATGTGAGATTTCTAGAGATACCGAACCGAAACGGATTTGTAAACTGACCTTCAGTCTGGCTTTTCCTAGCCGGATTTTTCACTTGACCTCAAGATGAGACTGTGTGTACCACATTGAGCAAAACCGATCAGTATAAATAGTTTTTAGAATACTTCAAATCAATCTACACGCTTAGAGCTTACGCTACAGCTTAAAAGTTTCAACGTGTAAAATCAAACCTTTGATTATTTTACATCATATTGCATTTGATTTTCTAACAGAAAAACAAATGTAACACTTTTGCCTAATACGCTTATGTGTATACTGCTGTTATCGAAATTATTCTCTAATATTAATTCCACACGTAATAACATCGCGGGACTTGACGGCATAAACAATTATTAGTTATTAAGCGACTATTTTCTGATCGTTCCCACTCTTCCGGAATTGTACCACTGTATCTGCAAAAAAAACATTATATGGTATACAAAAAGCCCCACCAAGTTCACTGAAAAAAAAAACACAGAATCAGCAACAGCTAGTTAGCCCAGTTCGTGCCGTTACTATACTACTAACGGCCATTATTAAGGCACTTATTCCACGCATGCGGGTGAATCATTAAGTTATACTGCTAAGTACTTGGACAGGTGACAGGTCACTGATCGCTTCTCTACACCGACTATTGCCCTTTTCTGGTTCTTCTTGTTATCTTCATGCTTTACTCAGACTATGTCAGACTATTGTACTGTGTCTTAATATGATGTTTTCTTGCCTTCTTACATACGATAATATATAAGGTGAAGACATAATTGCCTCTTACTAACACTGATGAGCCACACTGATGAAAAATTAAGGGCATTTATATTTGAAACCGTCAGTAGATTTGAAACTGACCCCATGGCTCGGTCCCACTGGAACTATCATGAAGATTTTTTTTATCAATTGCTATTGTAAATATGTCGCAATTCGAGATCGAGACTTCATAAAAAAATATGGACCTACAGTCAGTAATGTGTTGTTTGCTTGTGTGATCATATTATAGTCACTTCGAACTGACAGAAGTATCCTGAAGCTAAGCAGGACATGTGACGAGCACAACAAACAATTAAACGAGCGAAACGGTTTTCCACTGTTGACAATTTTGCACCTCACGAAGCTCATATGTTGGATCTTACGTGGTGCAGATGTTGAATATCGTCTAGTATTTTACATGATTACAAACGTACAAAGCTCAACAATGATGAGCTGATCATCTGCCTATGATATGTTGTTCTCGAACTGGCTATCCGAAGCTTCTCGATTTCAAATACCTCTTTACCTGCCCTGGTTTCCCATAACGTCCCACAATCCCATAACGGTCGTATACTTCTTTTCGATTCTCTTTGCTCGTTGCTATGTGTGTGTTTTTTCGAACTACAATAACGTATCTAATATCGGCCGGATACTCTCACGTTTTCGACCACTCAGAAGTATAGTTACATTAAATAGTTACCCCTACGCCCGTTTGGGGTATAGCAACTTTGCGTTGAAGTAACTGTGCATGAACGTGTGTGTGTATTATATATAACAGCTTTACAAAGAAGTAGTAAAGAAGAATTAACTGCGATTTGAAAGTTTGTTCGTTCGATCGTTCATCATTATCATTTGAGCAGATTGCCATTCGCGTGTTAACATCGATCTTCGTTAGCCTTAGAATATTCTTTATAAAGTTATGTTTATATCTTACACATGTCCTCTTTTAAGCAATGCTGCTGTTAACTTCTTTCTGTGAAATAAAAGAAATCACTTCAAAAGAAGATCGTTTTATGTACCATCTTCAATTCATACTTGTGATAACCGAACATTGACCAATATGTATTGCTAGATTATTGATCAAATACTAGTAGCTAGTTCTATTTCGTTTTCTTGAGAAGATTACGGCTGTATCATAGCCATGTGTTATTATTGTTGTAGATATCCAATAGCAGGCCCCTGGACTGACCCATCAGCGCTGTAATATACTAACCTTAAACGCATTGTCTTTAACGACAGTCGGTATTTTACATGCAGGTATTATATATTCTATTCGTACTTAAACGAATGAGCGTTACGGTCTTATCATCTATTTATACAAACACTTCCAAACCACAGTCATCAATGGCAGACGAATCGGTGTAGCACTATTGGCTGTACCGTCCCTTTTTAACTGCGACAACACCATAAGCAACCAAAGTTTGAACGTACACTTCGCAACTTTCTCCGTTTTTTCAAACTAAAACCGACTCAGAAAAAAAATTTGTAATATTTTCATATAAGTTCTTACCCGATCCTAATTAACTAAATTCAAAATTGATGCCTATTCTTTCTTCCACAGCCTCTACCACCATCTTAAGATTCACACCAAACTTGATCCTTAAGTTTTCCAATGTAACGAATTTTGTTTCTTTAGGTACAACGGGCTAAGTTTCTTATCCGTGTGACACGGTCGTCGTGTACATAAAGTGCAGTCACCCTTCCGGGGTTCTCCATTCGTTGTTCCCTGCCGATCCCCTGGTTCTCTGTCCCGCTCTCGCTACTTGTCGATCGTCCTTTTTTTATTCCTCCATTTCCCTTTTCTTTTCCCCTTTTCTTTTAACGCCCACGCACCTCTCGATACTTATCCTTGCATGTAGATTTCCCCTAGATGGTCCGCCCAATTCAATCTGATATGAGAAAAAATTGTCGAACTCTGACTTTTGTTTAAAGCTCAAACTTTTATCCTCTAAATGCAGATATAGTGACGTCTCTGCTAAATCGAGCTGCTTCTCTGTGCTAGTTTTTTGATCGTACCAGATCTCTGGGAGTTCCGGCCCATCCACGAATGATTTATCTCTGGCAACCCATGTCGTCATTGGTAGCCCACCGATTTCACTTGAGCCAGCACGGCATCCCGTTATGGCTGCTGCTACGTCCACTGGTAGTACCTGGCAATTGACAGTATTCTGTTAGTTTTTGCTGAAGAGATATTCTTTTGGATATTTGTTTTCCGTCCCGGCCCGTTTCTTTCGACTTTTTTTTTTGTATGAAAAAGTATTTCGCTTGTTGGACTAGTGGAACATTTGCTTTCTTTTCTCTTTCGCACTCACGTTCATTACCTGTCGTTGCTTTTCACTGCAGGCGAAACTCGTCTTTTCCTCAGGTCCAACAGCAGGTTAGAGACCGACTTACTGCTGTAATCGGCGAAACGACAGTAAATGTAAGACCGACAACCGCGGCCACAAGGTATCGAATCAACTTCCTCTGAACTTAGTAAATAGTTCTTCATAATAGTAATAAATAGAGCTGTCATTAGTCGTTGTATGGTTACCGACCAAAATGATATTGGATACCGTAGCCATGGTTTTGTCTAGGCTAAAAACACAGAAGCAGCAAACATTTATAGTGAACAATTGCTTCGTCAGAGGCATTCAGTTGCTTTGTTATTGCTACCTGGTCGGCCACCCCCCAGGTCGTTCGAGTGCTTTCTCGAGCGTTCGAGCTTGACCTTAAGCCTACCCGTATATCCGGCTCGCTTGAGCCATTGTTTCATCTCGACCTACTGTTGGCTGTTATTGCTTAGTTGCAGCATGGCTATAGTAGCGACAAGATCCTCTACGCGTGTTCGTGACTGTCCAGCTTACCGCTACCCGACTCTGTATGGGCCTGTACACTGCCTGTCGGCCGCCGTCTAGACAGATACCTCTCTACCCAGCTGCCTTCCTTCCACCCCTATGTTTCCCCCTCAGGGACACTGGCGGCACCTTTGCCATTATTAACCAGCGGCTTTGGCCACTTTGATTTGACCACCCTAAGCGCTTGTTCAAAGCTGGCGCTTCGTCCTCGTCGTAGTCTATACCTAGTCTTGTAGCGCCTGCGAGCCAACAGCCTGGCAGGTAAATCGGTTCGGTGCTACCCTCACCCATACCTATGTGTCGGCCATGCTCGCTAAATAGCCCGGCGCGGCTGCTGCTGCAGTTGCCTGTGTCGGCTCAGATGACGACGACGACGACGAACGCCGCCCTCCCTCTCTCGCGCTCCGTTCAGCCCTCTTGCCATAGTAATGCTGGTACTTACAATAGTACTAGTCGTAGTAAGAAGTAGCGTGCGTGCGTGTGCGTGCGTGTTTCTATATGTGTGTGTATGGGTCTGTGTGTTTGTGTGTCTGTGTGTGTATATGTGTGTGTGTGTGAATGTGTGTCGCCGTGAGAGTCTGTGTGGGTGCGAGCAGTAGCGTTCTCTGACGGCGGTGGCATCCGAGGTGGCGGGCAGTGGCGAGCAGCAGTAGGCCGAATTATTGAACAGGGGAACATCGACGATCCCAGACACGCAGAGCAGTCGAAAACGTAAGAGCGTTGTATCCTACAGCGAAAAGGAACTAGTGCTTGCTGTTACGGCGGTGTTATATCGTGCGTGTGTCGCTACGTTCTGCGAATATTTCGGTAACGGTTGCAACTCTAGCGTGGGAGTTGACGACTGACTACTCGCATTAAACGGAAAAGAAAAGGCTAACCTCGATTTGGACGTCATCGTTGCTAACTGTTTAGTGGCAGTCACATCAGAAGCACCAACGTTGTATTGGGCTTGGGAAGAACAGATCAGGTTGAAGCAAACGCGGCTAAATCAGTTAGTTTGGCATCAACAGTAGCCGTGGCCGAAAGAGTTAGAGTCTACCTCACTTACCGTTTCTAATCAATTTCAGCTGTTGCGACAGCACTTCTGAGTGTCGAGACTGTCCATGTGTGCCGGCTGCCGCCACGAAAATCCGTGAGCCTTGCTCGCGAAGGACACCAAAGCTAGCATCCATTGAGGATTAATCGTCAGACAGGCTCTGTCGTTGAGGTAAGCGTCATCATAGGACAAAAGAAAGTGTCCTGATTCTCAGAATCTCAACCCTGCCGACGCGTGGTGTAGCATTGCGGTGACCGATAGTGCAAGTAGTGACGAACGCCGCGCCGGAGAGAAGCATCGCGAGCGATCCAAGATTCAGTCGTGCTGTGGAAGCAAGTGTGGAGTTCAATTTTAGGCCAAACAAAAATGTAACGTGCTTATTGCAGCTGACAAAGCTTGCGACGACGCTATCGCCAAGCTCTTTTCGTGTCCGCTAGCGGTTGCTCTCCTCGAAGCTGTAGGTCATCAGTGGCCGAGTGTTATTAGTGGTAAAGTGTGCTATGGTGGTATAGTTCCAATAGAAAAGCCTACTGCTATTTAGGCCGTTAGGATCTTCAATTTAGAGAAATCACTTAATTTCAAATTAAAGGAAATCACTTAAGGCACGAGGCAAGACTACTCCTTGCTAACTTAACGAACGTCAGTTCGCTTTCGTATTGAGGAAGTCGACTGGCTGTCTGTGTTGGAGACAGACAGCTCACTCGAAAAATAGCGCGAGCGTCATTTCAACGTCAACTTGAAGTGTAGTCACCCAAGTGCGGTTTTAAGGCGAGACCTTTGTTCGGAGCCATCGCGAAGTTTAATGGCTGGCGATTCGTGCGGTGACGACCGAGAGACTTTAGGGCTGTGCACGCTGGCCTCGGTCGTGTGCAGCGTGCGAGAAAGGCGCGACAGACGCCCCGGGGGTTCGAGCGGCTCCCGCTGCCGAGTTCGTCGCTGTCCCGTGAAAGATCCACTCTGGCTTTGGGGCCCCCTAGCACCGTAGGCTAGACGCCCCAAAAACTAGGAACAAACTAGACAACAAACCAAGGAAATTGGCAACGCGACGCGAAAGCAAAACCCAAGAATCTGGACAAACGCTCCGAAAGACATAAGATCACGGACCACTTCTCTACAGCAGATACACCCGAGTTATAATAACAGCAACAAAAAAAAAACACAACTGTAATAAAAGAGACTGCAATAAGATCACTGTGGGTGCAGCTAACTGCGGGCTTGGCCTGTATTTATCAAGCAGTATCAAACGTCACGCAGGATCATCAATAGGACCAGATGTGTGTTGCCGGGTGCGTACGGAACAGGCTTGAACAGGCGGTTCTATCTAATAATTACTAGAGTAAAAGAAAAACAATAAAGTGGAGTAAACAGTAGCCGATAATCAGTCTATTGTCGTCATCCGCTTTTTGCCGTTTCGTAATCGTCCCCTAAGCACCTGCTTCTGCTTTCTCGTTGCCTAATTGGTTGGTTGGATAATAATTGCATGCGGGTGCTCTAGTGCTCAGCGCTGCCCCCTATCCAAAGGCCGAATACGAAGATCCAAGAGACAGAGACCTCCATCTTGGAGCGCCATCTCCTACAGCTATTCTCATTCTTTCCCAATTCCGGTCGGTAGCGGCTGCAGCAGCGGCAGCAACTTCAACCCCAACCAACGTTTCTGAGTCCCTGTTCTTCGAACCCACGTGCGAAGCCACGATTAGCGCGGGGGTAGCTAAGTGTGTAAAAGACATAACTGCTACCAGCAAATGGACACACGTCGAATACTGTAGAAATACGACCAACTTTTTTTTCTGTCTAACCTTCAGCAGAAAACGTGCCCCCGTGTCGCATCAGTAGTGCAAGTGCCGAGTTCCGTCAGCGTCGACCGGACAGGACCACAAACGACGGTGACCCCAACAGTAGGTGGCGACCGTTGGCGGCAACAGTCACTTCGTGCGACGACATTGGTCATCGACTACATAGCAAGGTAAGGCACCTCCTGGCATAACGAAACGACAGTGTAGAATAGCACGTTAGGAAGTATAACCTGGCGCGTTGGCTGTTAGCTGCGCAGCAGGGTTTAGCTCCGGGACCTCAACTGCCCGCACCTGTCCACTACTAGAAAGGCAAATATCCAAATGGCCAGAGTATAGGTTGCCGATACGTTTCTACAATAGCGCACCCTTTTTTTACATTTGCCCCATATGCGCGTCAGCGCTACAAGCAGTAACCTGGTAATGCATGATGTTATAAGTAAAAGTCGGCGGTTTATAACTTAGTGTGAAACACAGAATTAAAGCTAAAGTTAGACATCACGTAAAAGCCATCCTTGGGTAGATAAGGGAGGGAATTTGCATATTGGGTAAATTAACTGATTGATGACTATTGTCCTGTAAATAGCTCCAATATAAATGCTGAATGTTTAGGAACATCTCCGAATGGACGCGTGTAGGTGCAAATCACTGGGCTAGGGCACAGAATGATTGATGTGACGTCAATAGCTGCTTATTTCAAAGAGGAGACGCCAATAGGAAGAGTTGTTATGTCACAGTTTGTTTGGCTTCATGCGGTCGATGCCTCAGATTTTGCGCAGCTGAGCCGCTCCCTGAGTTACCCACATCCAGACGGACTCACTTTGTCTCTAAATACTCGTATAAAAGCGTTGTCAACCGTTATTCAGATAAAGGGGCACAAATTGGCATTTATCTCACGTACCTAAATAGAAAATATAGTATAGAATATTTGCATAGAAGCAACTTTCCAAAGCAATTGTGGTGCCGGCGATTTTGGCACGATATATCATTTATAAGTCACTCACAATATTTCTATATCGCCTATTCCACCTTGTGTTTACAGACGCAACAGGATTGGCAGCGAAGGTAGAAACTCTTCGCGATTCTAAGCAAGTTCGGAACCCAGTTTTGTGCTACAGTTGACAGCGCGGCACGTGTTTCCAAGCGCGAATCAACCCAGAAACAAATCAACTTCTAAACTCTACGAAGTTCTTCGAGACAACGTAAAACTAATTTAAGCAGGCGAGCTTCCAGGCTAACACTTCGACATCGCGCTAGTTCAAACAGAGTTACCGGCACCGATTTCAGCCGCCAGGATATCCGCAGAAGAACATTGACACTCATCAGTGTCGACCAGTTATCACGTTCGATCCGTTCAACACTTCGACGAAGGATATCCGTTGATTATATTACCCATAATCTTGTCAGTGCCGTGACCAGTTGCCCTACTGAGTTTCGACCGGTGCTTACTAATATTCCCTGACGGTCGACGTGGTAAGTATAGGAATTGTACTAGACTGAGCTTCTGATGATGCTGTTACTGTTACCGCCATCGCCGCTAGCAGATGGCTGGTCGTCTGTTCGTAGCATAGGTTAGCTAGGACACGAACGGGTTGTCCGCTGTTAGCAAAGTGGTAGCGGTCGAATCACAGACTCAATACGACACCACATACAATATATCACAGACTGACAACTGCAAGTGAGTTTACATATGGCACCGTAGAGGGGATTCACAAGAACGCCGGTTCCCGATTTTAGATACCCACGGAAGTGGGCATTGGGCCTAAGATTGGCTGGACGGCCTGTATAGAATATGTAGTTGTGATATACTACGAAACAGCATCATCCACAGGACTAGCAACGATATAATAATAACTAATCGTAAAGTAACGCCTTTCGCATCGTCTGAGACCTCCGATGAATGTTGAGATCACATGACCATCGTTCACAGAAACCGTCTGTTTGATGGCGCAGAAAGTTGTTGCTGTTACCATCACGATTCGTGAGAAAACTAAGCAACAAGCCCATTACCCAGCACGTCAAATGTGGGCGGGCCCGTTTTCGTCGTGTTCGGATGCTGCCGCTAGCATAAATCATAACGGTTAATTCTAATACTCAAGGTTGATGCCGTTGCTGCTACCGCTAGCAAATACGTTTGACTCGAACGAGATTGCTATTCAGCATGGGCATTTATTCCGCTCCAGTTCATGAGTTTCCGATTTCTCTGCATGACCGGGCATGAATTATTGGGGCCAAATGAAGGTCGTCATTTAACCTGCGGAGTAGACTATTGCTGGTACGGGAAGCAACGCTAAAAGCGTCTATGATGACAATGATTCAGTAGTGGCTATCGCCAATCAAAGTTCGGCGAAAGGTTAATTTTCTGCTGTTGCCTTCTACAACCTGCAGTCGCCGAAATCTGCCGCGTCTGTGCATAATAGTCACCTGCGATAGGCCCGTTCCTGTTGTCGAACAAAGCATTTTGCATGAATCATTCTTCAACAAACCGATTGTTCCTTTTCTGCGCAAACAATAACAGAAACCATAAAAAAAAAATTATTTTATATAATACATTTTGTTGTAAAATAGTACTTAAAGATACCAGACACTATATCGGATACCCTGGCGTGTAACGGAAGGACACCTTATACAATCAGGCAGGCAGACGACGACAAGCAAAGAAAAAATCCAAGTTTTTATAGAGAAAACGGGTTGTTCATTACCTTTGCGGCTAAAACCCGCAAAATGTCTACTTTTTTTACTGGCTCTGTTGCCGTTCACTAGCATTGAGCGGATCTATTGCGTTCCCGTTCACCCGAAGTGACTCACTCATCCCACGAGTCAAAATGGAAGCAACGTTGCTCGAAATACTCCGCGGCCACCGCCATCTACCGGTCCGACTTTCTTCCCATTCATACAACTGTATTCAAGGTCTTCCATCCAGACATACAACGAGTAAGGCAAGGGCAGGTTAGCAGACGACAAGATTCGAATCAGTAGTCCACGGAAGGAAAGGGTAGCAAACCTCTGGTACGGATCCGGTATCTGCAGACATGAAAAATAGATTTATTTTTAGCCTCTAAAAATAGTGCTAGCATTAGTATTCATCTTCTTAATCCCACCACGGTACTGGGCTGATGAACATGTTCACTGTTCTAACAGTATCATCCCCATGCGTGTCGTCTTCGCTGAACCCAAGTCGGCGCCATGGAAACAGATGTTTGGAAGTTTAGTATGTACCTACGAAATGGGTGGTCCATAGCATCCTGGCCAGGCCCTTTCTCCGTCCACTTAGCCCAGTCTTACGAAATCTATTATTAATATTAGTGACGAGATAGGGTTTAGGCAAGTACATCAGGGGATGAAAGCAATCCTGGACAAACACGTGCATACAAGAGACCAGACAATGATCATTTTAAGCATAAAAATCATCGTCGCTTATCTTTTTTGGCCATCGAATTGTATTTGGTTTGTGTGCTTTTGCGATCGTCGTTCTCCCCGTCGTGCGCGAGGAATTCTCAGCTACACAGCAGGACCTTGGACCATGCACGACACCGGACAAAAAACGCGGTCGTCATCATGACTCGTTAGTATCTAGATGCGTTCTGGACATACGTACGTTAGATTTTGTGTATATAAAGCTAGATTTCCGCTGCTTCCTGCTGGAGCAAAAAACAATAATGATAGTAGTACTAGTAGAAAATTGCAGCAGCTGCTGGATATTGATAAAGGGCTCGTCCGCCGGTTTCTGCGCCATTTGCCACCAACGTAAGCGGAGTCATCGCAACTGCGGTGGCTGTAGCGACTACAAAAACCATTTAGGCATCAGCCGATTGCCGTAGGCCATCGGCACTTTCCATGGACGGTAAACAGATAGAAGAAAGTAAACGAGACGGTTGTCAGGCTACGGAAGCGACATTATTACGAGATGCTGTTAGGAATATAAGCCGACCAGGACTCGTGGCGACGATCTGCCGGGGTTGCTACACGTATATCTAACATGTACGATGTATTTGAGACATCTGTCCATTAGACAGTACCTATTTAGCTGTCTTCTTTTTAGATGCCCCAACATTAGCAGGCGCTGTACATTTGCTGCTGGCGACTCTTGCAGGTGATCTCTGTCCAGTTAAAATATCAAATCTATACAGATTCAAGGCACATTATAGCAAACGCTCTTTGTTTATGTGCCTGTTCCTAGGTGTGTGTGCTAGTGCTTGTGTTTATTTTAATGCATCTGGGGGCTGTGGCCTTTTCGGTTGCTCTAGCCAGTAACGAATAAGGCACACTCAATTACGAGCATGCATTTTTGGTACGTTCTTTTTATTCAATAATGATTATAGAAAATCGATTTTAAAGTTCTTCTTTTTTTGCTTTTGCTCACATTGTGTTTATTCAAGCCCCCGATTGGAAAAAAAACCTAAAATACCACGTAAAATTCAACAATAGCTTGATAAACCCTGAAGTCAAGCAGGTGGCCTGGTCCCTTAACAATGAGAGATGAAAGTCATGAAGGTAAATATCGACCAATATATACAATGTGTAGTAAACATGGCCATATTAGTAGAATCGTGCCCAACTCGAATTACCAATCTTTTTATTCGGTCTACCGCAATAAAGAGAATAATACTTATCAACAGGTCAAACAGATTCCTTACATCTCCGAGTTAGGTCTGCCCTATTTCTTTATTGATTTAATTATTGAGATTGTATTTGTGTCAAATACGTGCTCCCTTTTAAAACATATAATTAAACAGGTGATGTAGCATGTTTCCTGGCCAATATTGCCGCATTGACTGTCCATCACGAATTTTACTTCTTCACAGCCGAACGGGATCGATCCTTCTCGTTATTGGTATTTCATTCAATTTTCTATACTTTGGCCGCTGGTTGTAGTAGACCAAGTTAATGTTAGCTTGGTAATTATCGTAACATTGATGTTAAATAACCATTGGCGTGCTGTATCATAGTCTACGTCACGATCGCGCCACCGCGCTCATACATTAGAGTATATCTGGCTTTTCTGCAAGGCCTATGCTGTACATAGTTCGCTGGGTAACAAAAGTGAATGTTTTTATTGAGCACGTCGGTGACGCTGTCGCTACGTCGCGGTTGCCGATATCGCGACAGCGACAGTACAAGAACGGTACTACTTGAAAGTGGTTTTATGACAAAAGGCCCACGCAGGCCAGTGGTGTAGATGCTGTTGTCGTTATTTTTATTGATCATCTTGCCATCAATTGAATGCTTGGGATGAACGTTGCTCCCGGTGCTCATATCTAGAAGCAGCAACAGGCCGCAGCGGCGATTGAGACGTGAAAGCTTGCCTCGCATTTTCGGCAATTACAATGATTCACAGCAGTTCAGTCCCCCAGCTAGCGAGCAGTGGCCAAGTTGGTGGCCTCATGGAAGGACAATGCGCAGGCCAATTTACAGGTCGTTCTCACACGACCTCCGCTGTGTCTGTTTCGTCGCTTAGCGGCTTGCCCGGTTGAAGAAACTCTACTGTTCTAAATTAATGTACAGAAATGAACAACAATCGCGCACCAGCAGCGGCCGTTGGCTGTTTGCGCGGCGTGGAACGAATTGCAATGGCCCTAGGCCTGTTGCGAGTACTCCGCCATGCTTTTGCTTGCCCACTTGGTAGCTTTGTCGGTGGCTTCAGATGGACGGCGTGGACGCTGAACCCGCCAAAGGGTATGCTGCGCCAACTTTACTAAACATGGGGCGTAATAAACGTCGTTCGTGTTGTTGTTTCCGTTTTAGGATAGGTTAGAGCAACCGTAATTATTCAATAATGGATAAGTCTCATTAGCTGTTATAACTTGTTACCTATTCCAACAAGAGCAGTAGTTATTGCCGCCATTTCCGTCGTGGATTTCTTCGCCCTTCAAATTCCTATCGGTAGGTAGCCATTGTGCTTCTTTTAGCTCATGTAATGTAACATGTTTGTATTCTACCTTTATGCCCTTCACTTTAACATAATTTGAAGTAAAGGTGCGATGCCACGCTACACGGAAATCCAACTCGAACAAAGAACGTAGCTAAATAAATTTGGATGATAACTGCAGTATCAAACGGGTCACCAGGCGGTATGCTGGGCCAACGAATTAATATATTATAGCATGAACTATATTTCAATACCAAACAGGCCTAGTTGCTTTATCAGTATTGTCAAATTTAGAACTGTGATCAATCCATTAATATATTTCAAGCCAATGTTTTAAGCTGAAGATAGATATAGAGGATCCGTTCTGCAGGCTACTGCGGCCTGCTATTGATTCAACTCTAAATTTGCTAATAGGTACCTCTGTGGCACGGCAGAAGCTTGGCAAGTCAAGCAAAAAAAAAAATCGACAGCTTATTTCGCATAGATAAACCGAATTTTAAATGTTGGCCTAAAAAAGACCTCATACGCTATGGCCAAGTGCCACATGATACCTACCTGAATGCCGCTCACCTCGGCTAAGCTATGTTTTCTTAATGATCGCAAGGAGTCGTAGCGGCAGGCATGTTTGCTGTGACATATTATCCTAGCAATGGATCAAAACATCTAGTAAAATCAGATGTGTATCTATATGCATTAGAGAGCTTTTTCGTCCTTTATAGCGTATTCTTAACTGCTGGCTCAAAGTCAATGAGGCCACTTAGAGACTACAAATCCTTTGTGCTAGAGGCCCACTAATCCTGCAGGAAAGTTTAATGAAAGAAATTAAGATGCAGTTTTCGAATAGAATACGTGAAGGGTAATACGAACAACGCGATGCAGGATTACCTTGAGATTAAACATTGAGATCTTTACTATAAAGATCTGTAGTGATAGTTGTAACAAGATGTCCAAAATCATCTTATCCTATAAGAGGCCAATAATACTGTAATCTGCGGCTTTAAAGCGGATCTTTCGTCGCATAAAAGTCTGGGTATGATATAATACACCATTTTCATGCCTATGATCAGCAAATGATGACGAATGTAGCATCTGACCAATACCCACGAGGTTAAATATATAAGCGACCGTTTTGATAACATTCACGTATGACAATTCTAGGCCTGAGGCCAGGCCAACAAGATAATCATCGATTTCCGAAACAAATGCACAATCCTTACCTGCAATGATTTAATACTGTGTTGTGGATCGCTCGCGCTTCTGCTTTTTCTAATGAAATCTCTTGCCTCTAATACTGCCTGATCGACGCTCTTCATTCGACGTCCTCTGCGCCCCAGTATATAGACCTAGTGCATACATTTTGCTAACTATGGCAGCGTGTACAGCGATGGTGATACTGCGGAGAAAGCCGTCGCCCGCTGCTTGTGCCAGAAACGTTTCTACGACGGGATTCGAGCGTCTTCTGTGATGGGTACGAACCTGGAGGGCACAATTATTACCGCAAAGTTTGCCCTTAGCTGTTCGCGGCTAGGTCAACATTTCATTTCGAATGATAGGAAGGCAAATATGAATATCGTATACACTTTCTAGAGGTGCATCTGACGTTCAGGCGGTGGTCTGACGCATTCTTCAAATAATGATGCGATCTTACCGAATCTGCTAAACCCTACTTGAAAAGCAGTCTGTCAGCCTTGCTACAGCTCTCTAATCCGGGAAATCTAACCATTTGCAACGTGTGGCATCAAAGTACAGGTGCTAAACCCGGCAAATATATGAAGTTGAGTGAAAGGGCGACGAAGCCAATTGAAAGCAAGAGCCCTTAGTTTCGAGCGAGAATCTCGTTCGGGTCCTTGAAGAATCTAAGATCATCTGAAGGACTGTCGACTGCGGCGGCGCTTCTATTGTTGGATCTGCAGTAAGCGTTAAAGCCTATCGTATTCGATGACTACTGCTGTTTGAAGAATACTAGAATAAGGTGTTATAAACACTCTATAGGGCCATACAAAGACGTAGAAATAGGCAAAAATATTAAACGAATAGGAATATTTGCGTTATTCCGCTGTCTCGATTCACGGCGGTTCGACACTGAAAATTCTAGAGTTACCCATTTTTTCCACACTTGAAAACGCTATTTGGGAAAAAATATACAAAGTATAAAAAAACACCTAATTCTTGAGTGAGTTAGGCGACAGGGTGTACACGAATGAATGGTTCTGGAAAATTTTCACAATAGAGCTAAAACATTGGTAGGTAACGTTTACTAGTAGTCAAAGCTTCATGCGAATGCAGTGGTCAGCGTCGTAGGACGAGTCATTTTATTTAAATCTGAATCCCATCGTCACCAACTAAGAATCAGTAAAGCGGGTTTTGTTGTTCTCTCGCTCTTTCTCAGAAAAGATCAACCACTTTGTAGACCCCTTCCCCCCTACATGCAAAGGGAGGTTCCAGCAATTGATAACGCGCAAATGTCACCGCCTCACTGTTGCTTCCTGTGCATAGAGAGGAAAGGGCCGAACGCCTTTTAGCTTTAGGATTTTTTTTTTTGCATGAGAATGGCAAGCTTACTTCTTCTGTTGAGCAAACAGAACTGTTGGTCGCAAACAGCCCGTAATTAATCAATTTCGGCTGACTTTATATGAGCTGAATGGATGAGTGACCTATACGGTGTAGCTGCAATGATATAATAGATAATGCACAATGGCGCCGTTAGGCGTAGTAGTTACAGTGACTTTTGTTAAATAATCATTGAAGTTGTGGTAGTGAATATGTGATGGAAAAACTTCACGAACTCGTGACACCTCAGATCGCAGCGCTGAGCTATGCGTCAGCATTGTCAGTGATACATCATAAGCGTTTTCTTCCTCTCTCATTTCTTCGTCGCTTAATTTTTGCTTTATTAATACTGTGCTTAATAATAAAGAATAGGCACGAAAAGATCGCTGGGTCAACACTTCATTTTCTGCTTAAAGTCCCTACAACCACCTCGAAACCGCCGATAAATTAACAGCTCAGCCTTAACGAAGTTGTCATTTGTGACAAGCCCCAGACCTCGAGATGTTGTGATTGGACAGTAGGAAGTTGCCGTAATTGCCGTTTTTTCAGCAGTGCTTTCTTGCTATACAGAATTCGACGATGAAATGCTCGAAGTCAGGATGGTAACGACCTCGTTTCGCAGATACTGTCCAGTTACAAGATGACTCGATACGTGACGCAAGAAATATGAATGAAAATAACGACTATGCAGAGAAAAAGTGATAAGCTTAAGCCTAAGTTGACGCCTATATCGTGTTTTCAATCTACCTTCGTTCCATTGTAACAATAGTTTTCTATCTTATTTCAGCTTGTCGCACTCACAAACAGACGGGATTTCGAAGTTAGTGCAACGTCTAACGGTACGTTTGTTTCGAAACAGATATGTGAGTATTGCATTAATGCAAAATAGCCAAGAGGGTCTCATAAAGTCGTATTTTATTGCAAATGCTATTTTGCCCTCGAGTAGATCCGCAACGTACGGCCGAATGCCATTAGGGGTGGATGGGTATGTCATAAAAGGAAATCGAGCTTTTATTAACATTCATCTTCTTTAAATACGGTCTCATTGGACGGATTTTTATAACGCATCGCTTGGCAAGGGTCATCGAAACAGGGTGTCTCTAGCCACGCGCAAATGTGAGCAATTTATCATGCTTTATATTGTTGATTGTCGGAATAATTACTCAGTTGCGTAACTATCTATGGCCTCTATAGCTTTTTGTGTGAAATCCTTTTTACCTACCGATCTGTTGAACTCTTATAGTCGGTGCTGTTAGGTAAGATTACATAAGAGATTGATACAAACTAGATTTGGTTGAGTATGTCAGCCAGAGAAGATAAGATGCCAGAGAAGATTATTGCTGAAAACTTTCTAACGACCCCTGAGATAGCCAGAGCTTTCGCGGGTAGACCTCACTGCTTTTAGAGTTATTGCCAGTGAAGTCTGCCGAATTTAGCCGTCTGCTGGCTAGTGCATTATCCTATAAAGTCCGAAGACCAAATCGTCCGGTCGTAGAAGCATTACATCATTCAATGCTCACTCGGTCTTAACCCGGCCACGTGGCAAGTTCATTTATTACTTTGGCTAGCTAATATGGAAAGCGTCAAGTACACAAATAGAGCTTGGCATTCGTCGTAAACAGAGACTAAAAGGCCTTAGCTCTTCCTCCTGAACGGTAACATAAAGGGATACCGTGAGATGAGAGCATGCGTGTCTGTGACGCCATTCGTACATAAGTGATGGCCTGCAAGGATGCTGGCAATACTTGTTACTCATTTTGTAGGTAAAATCTTACTTGCCGAATTGACACGTAACGCCTCAGATCACGCTGCCCCCATCCGCGCACCAATGTGAATTGTTGACACCTTAGCCGTTTATCGCATATATGCTAAACTGCGCGTCAAACTTCTTGTAAAAGAGATACCCACCTTTGCTTAACGCAATACAGGCTAAATAAATGTTGTTTATTGCCATTGCCATAGATAGTATACAAGGTAAACTCTAACCCTCGCTAAGCATTTGTTTGTAATTACTGACCACGTAACTTTTTTTTGTTCCCTATGTTTTCTTCTTTATATCTGTAGGTAGCATCAAGCAAAGTAAGCGGAACCAACATTTGCGTTACGTAAAACACGACGGTTGCCAATTCCGGTCATAGCAATACGTGATAGCTTGTGAGTGAAGATAAGTAGACTTGCTGGCCTGAAACATCAGCTGCATCACTACAGCGACAAAATTGGACGTGTTGCTGTTGTTCTGCCCCGGGAACTTAGAACCGCTGGATCGGTAACGGATTTACCTAGCACCTATTTCGAATATACTATATGCAATCGGCAGAAAGGGTTCGTGAGACCGTAGAGGCTGGCCCTCTCCCGTACCTCCCGAGCTTCTAATGCCTCTGTCAGCGTTATCTTGTCCCATAAACTTCTATACGACGGACACACCGACGCATCGACGAAAATCTGCTTGCGTAAGCGTTCGGCAGGTTGCCGTCGTAGCTCAATCGTCGTGCGCTGTTGCTATCTGCAGCAAGTAACTGATGCCAAATCAGCGAAGCCATCTTTCTATTACTGTTCGTTTAGAGGAGTAAGTTTGCATCCTGGCGTGTGTATTGGACGCCGGTCAAACGACATCTTGACGCGTGAACAATATCTATGGCCCATGGATCTGGACCCGGGTTGAGGCCAGCAGAGTGTACTCTGCAGCCCCCCATAGGATTTTCGAATTAACCGTAATCGTACATTAATAGAATTCCTAGAAGTATCAGGTTAAACACAGATGACAAAACAGGAGACGAAAGAAGATAAGACGATTCACTAAAAGCCTGACAGGGAGGGCATAGTTATCTTGATAAGGCTAGCAATTCAAATAGCGTTAATAATAATAATGATGATAACAATTATAGGTTATTTACAAGAATTATCAATTCTAATAGTAATGATAACTTTAATAATAACCAGAACGAACGCACGTGTATGGTGAAGTGAGTTTATACTAGGACAACATTGCTGGTGGTCATAGACGTCAAACAAGTGATCATAATAAGGATACCCTTCCATATACAAAGAATATACCGTTCTTCGGCTAGAATTGACCCCCTCCAATAAGCTCCAGACGATCCATTTGAAACTGGTTTTAAGCAAACGGTGACAACCACCTCAATCATACGCTGTAACATCGACCATCTCTGAGGACATTACGACATATGGTAATCTACAACACCGCGGCTGAAACAGCATATGCCTCATCTATTATTTGTTATTAAACATTTTTAATAGCTAAATCTTTCATTGACTTCCGTTTATTTAATTCTGAGTTGCCGTAAACGGACAAAGACTCGAAGATCTTCATTAAAGAAGTACAAGCTAAACGCTGCTTAGTTCCCATTATTATACCAAACCTGACCATCGACGCTAACGACACTAATCCATGGTATGGTCACTGAATCTTAATTCTGCGACGTTCTGAAGCGATCTCTATTTAATCAAGACATTAATCATAAATACAAGAAGAAGTAAGAACAGAAGAAAGAACAATGTCTTCCCCAGAAGGCAGCCCGGAGAGGCAGCTCATTGTGGGTCGGCCTCTGGTTCTTCAACCTCATGGAGGCTCGGTCAATCTGGCCTTCACACAAGAGGACGATGTCTGTGATGGGCCTGGTGGACGCCCGGCCCCTACCGGTACCGTTAGCTACGGATTGTACTCACCAATGTCTGATGGCTTCCCTCAGTCACCGGATGGATCGATTACCTCAGAACGGTCTCAGGCCCAGCTCCTTCGAAGCGCTGGGCCTGGTCGAGGTCGCGGGCCGCCGAACGCCAGCTTTTCTATCAACGTTAATTCGACGGTGAAGGACGATGTTCTGGAAAAGAATGCGTCGGTTGTCTCGCACGATTCGCTTGACGGCGGCAACTCTAATGACTTTGAGGAAGAACACATCCGTAAAGTGTTCCTCCAGATGATTGGGCCATTTATCGCTGCCGGGTTTGGGACTGTGGCGGCAGGTCTGTTGCTCGACACGGTCGTCGGATGGGAGAACTACAAAGCGATCCCCGAACTGATCGGTCTTGTACCAACCTTGCTCGGCCTTAAAGGTAATCTCGAGATGACACTCACGGCTCGACTCTGTACCGCAGCGAATATGGGCAATATGGACAATTCGGTTGAGCGGTGGCGTCACGTAACTGGAAATCTCGTCGTGACCCAGTTGCAGGCAATCGCAGTCTCGTTTCTCGCCTCGATCATCAGCATCGCGGTGTACGCCATGACCCAAAACAAATTTGAACTCAGCAACACGTTCGTGCTATGCGCCAGTGCCCTTATGACAGCGGCTGTTGCGAGTCTTTTGCTAGGTCTGCTCATGTGCGCAATCGTCATTCTCAGCCGAAAATTCCGTCTTAATCCGGATAACGTTTCAGCGCCTATTGCTGCATCGCTCGGTGATATCACAACACTGGCACTCCTTTCGTACATTTCCTGGTTCCTTTATTCGTACCGACATCTACGCTGGCTAGCCCCGATTATCATTTTCGTATTTATGGCTATTGCCCCACTCTGGGCGTACATTTCATGCCGGAATACGACCGTTCGAGCCGTGCTCATCTCAGGTTGGACTCCTGTCTTAGGCGCAATGATTATCTCGCAAGCTGCCGGCTACATACTCGAGACGGTTAACAACTGCTACCGAACTATGGCTATCTACCAGCCAGTGATCTCCGGCGTTGGTGGAAATCTCGTTGTCGTGCAGACTTGCCGAATGACGACGTTCCTCGGTCGACGTTCACAGCTCGGTTCACACCCGCCCGACGACAATCGCTCGTGTGTTGACCCCTTATCCACTCTTTTCGGTTCACACTATCTGTCGCGAACGGCGTCCCTTCTACTCATGCTTACTGTGCCCGGTCATCTGCTATTCATCTACGTCATCCAGTTGTTCACGAGCGACTCGGTCATTACCCCAGTTTTTCTCGTGTTCTACCTTGGCGCCACCCTCGTTCAAGTCGGATTTCTTCTTTACGTTGCCAGGTGCATGGTGTATTCCATGTGGCGCCGCGCGATCGACCCGGACAATGCTGCGATTCCCTTATTGACAGCACTGGGCGATCTGGCAGGCATCGCGTTGCTGGCACTCGCTTTAATATTTTTACACGGGATCGGCGACAAGAGTTCACCCTTGGATGCCGAGTGTATCAGCAACCATACACAGGTTGCGCATCTAATAACGACAACGCCAATGGCTAAAATGGTAAGTCCCGTCTCCCTTCAATAAAGCAACCCCAAACTATTTTCCGTCTGAAGCTTTTATCATGGTTCTGTGACTAGCGGCATATTACAATAGTGTACAATGGCACAACAATATGTTTCGTAGGGGTAACATTAATGAACAGATCGGCTGTCGAGCTTTGTTTGCTTCTGCATATAATGTTAAACTTATTGCTAAGTCTTTTGGTTTTTCGTTTAACACCGGCGTTAGCGTCAACGCAATAGATTAGTTTGTTCTGGATGTCATACACACACGTCCAAATCCAGCGTCCAGTTTGAAGAGAGACAACGCTCATAGACCGGCGGCGACGACGACCACATCGACCAGCGTATGCACCGACGAAGGGTACAAACATGTCGAGCGGTTCGTACATTTGCAACATCAACAATGTCCAACCTATTAGTGCAACACGCATAGTACGCAATACTACCCGTAGAGGACCCGAAACATCCCCATGCATAGTTTTCCTTGCTACGATGTTTTTGCCTGCTCAAAGAATGCTTCAATAAGTTCGGCAAACAAAAACAGACCAAAAAAAAGTCTAAAAGAAGAAGAAAAAAACAGACACAGACACTACTGTTGACGGCTGCATGCAAAGAGTACCCGATAAGTTCTGCCGTAAATCTATCATGAAGGCGAGACAGTCACAAACGAGGCATTAGCTTATTCCAGCTATCGTGTCCTACTGCTACTAATTCTAGAATCTGAATTTAACCTTTAATTTTAGTCTTTATGGTGATGTGACGACATGTCCCTAGTGGCAACGGGCATGGTAATGTAATGTAATTGGGTACAAGCAGGCAATACGTCCTCCCATAAACGCAATATGTGCGTAATATGCCCTCTTCGCTGCCTCGTGCTAATAACAAATTACGCTGTTTCACACAAACTCTCGAGACAGTTATGCTGCAGAACTCGACAAAAATAAGTTCATTCTAATCAGAAACGTAGAGTAAAATAACATCAGAGAAACTAGGCGCCATGGTGAGCAAGAGGAGTCACCACTGCTCGTGTTGCATAGGCACAATACACAGAATCCGATCGACCAGGTTGGCTCTCATGGCAAATATTTTGTACGCGAAGACGAAATGGGACGTGCATTCCCAGTAAAGCCAAAAGAAGAAAAAAAAACTGAACGTTTCTTGAACGAGTGCCAACTTCGTGAGGCAATGGTATGAAGCTCTAGCGTGGAGAAGGGATCGAACAGTTTGGGTTTGTAGTTTTCCAGAGGCAGAATGTGATTTTTCGTGCCGAATCAACTGTTAAATTCTGCACACGTCAAAACGCAAACCGTTCAATGACAGGTGAGGAATGAAGAGACCGTGCGTCTTCAGTGACATTTCTCATCAGGAGGACTATTCCTTTTCATCTAGCGAACTGATGGGCAGCAGCAGAGAACGTCTCACGTCTTTTACTCTGTTATAGAAATATATATGTATTCGTTAAAAATGGCAAAATTTCCTCGAGTCTAAACCCACTACCATTGCTACTGATAAATTGAGAATGAAGACATTGAATTATTATTAATAGTAGCAGTAAAGTGCAATTTTCCGTCTCGATGGCAGCGAATCGGTGCAGAGTATTGCAAAAGCCGTGTTGTGTCGGCGGGTATCTCCAGAGCATTTAAAATTTAGACATGTATTCTACTCTAATAATAATAATAAGAAGAATATGAAAAATGAGCAAAAAAATGTTAATGATATTAATTATTTTTTAATACTATTATTATTATTGTTGTTTGTTGACCGAACTGCGTCAACCCCCTTCCAAGCAGTTGCGCTCCCCTTCCCATTGTTTGGACACATGGAGAAACTGTAGAGTCACACAGATTTCAAGAGATCTATATATATATATATATATATATATATATATATATATATATATATATATATATATATATATATTGTAGAAAAAAACAAGCAAGAAGAGAAAAAATTAATAAAACTATAAGTTCATTACGAAATAGAGATTCTATGAATGTTATGAAGTTATATTAACAATGATATATATATATATATATTGAAGTTCGCGCAAGCATGTAAGCTACTGTCGTGGTTCGGTTACCGATTTCGACAAACTCGAGTGAGCCTACATCACGTTGGGGTTCTCGTGGCCTACTTGCTCCTGTCACTTTATTGTTAGTCATTACGAGGGGAAGACCTGTTTGACAAATAAGGATGAAGGGCAGAACGATACTGAAGATAATCAAGCAACGAGAGAAAATCACAGAGAAAAAAAAAATAAATAATTCATCTTAACCACAACATAAAGAACAATAGGACAAAATCGACCCCTAGGTTGTCCAAGGCAAAAATAGCTTGTTCGCAAGCGGTCCGTGCTGCATAAGTTCGCAGGTACGTGACAAAGGGAAAATCCCGTTTTGTCTAACAAATGCAATGATAGGTATACTAGCACCCGCAATCCTGTTGCAGCAGCAATCTAGTTACAGAAACTGCAAGAAAGAAAAAAATGATAAGTCAAAAAGTATAAAAAAATTACAATTAGAAAAACGACCGACAACAATAGTACCGTCGATATCGTTTTACCTAACGTTTCACAGTTGTACATATGTTCTATTTTTCTTGTCCACCCGCATGACGCACAACACGGCGGAAATCACAAGTAACAATAATAATAAGGTAAACGAAATACGGATGAACATAACGTAGAGAAATATGTATAATAAGCAGATGACGTTAGTTATTAAAGCTTTAGCATTTTCCTTCTGCCAAACTGCGTTCATCCGCGACGGGAAACCAACGCTCCGAATTGAAGCGGTGGCAAAAAGTAAAGTTAAATAATTAAGGACAAATAGTAAAGCTGAAGATACTGATTATAGGATATCGAAGTCAAATACGAAAAAGATGTGAACCGTTAAAGTAGTGATGATAAAAAAAAAAAGTTAAAAAGATGGAGAGACAACAGTCACGACTGCATTGGACAGAGATACAAATAAGGAATAACCTTAATAACATGTCGATCGTCATGTTAATGTCGATGGAAGAGTAACAAACAAAAAAAGACAATGAAATCATTCCATGTGATAGCTAAGGTTGTTTTTTTTTGGGAGGTAGAGGTAGGGGGGGGGGGGCGCAGTGTTTTTTAATTTAAATATTTAGAAATTTTTGATAATTTTAAAATTGGTGAAGATGTAGCTTAGTGATAAAATTGGTTCGGTCGTAGGTTAATGCTAGTCAGATAACTGGAGTAAACAGGAAGGAAGATTTCTCATTATCATTTACAGTTTCAACACAATTAATAGAAGATTATTATTAATAGAAGAATAATTATGTCGTATTATGGTGTCACTAAGATTTCACTTACATAACAAGCAGTTACATTTGTAAAGGTTGTATAACTTTCTAACGACACAAATTTTCTTGCATTGTTCTTTAATCACAGCTCAACTGAAAAAAAAAAACATTTTGGATGGATCCATTTGGCAAGAGAACGTACGTGCCACTTATTGATTGCGTAATGTATCACACTCGATCAGTCTTTGCAGCCACTTATTTCTACATTCATTGTTCCTGTAACACTAAATTTTATCGATAAGTGTCACTTTTTTATGCTGACGTCTTCACCGATAAGGCGATATTGAGATTTCATAGAGTAATTGTTAAACCAAGGAAAAATAGGAATCTCCAAAAGGATGTGGCGTTGAAGCCAAGGGTCAATTAGAGCTTGATTGATTTTTATTTATAAGAGGTCTGTGTAACACCTCATAATTACCTTAGAATTGCTACGTTTTTAGAACGGGTCACAGAGGGACTGTCAGAAAGTAGCAAAAAGATCCTACGAAACAACTGAGTTGGCAATGTCTGTTAGACATATAAAGGGTTCGTTATCTGCGTCTTAATTTGAGTGGTAAATAAGTTAGGGCCTATATCCTATGACAAACACAAAACTAAGGTTATATATCTATAGTGCTATATTCCAAGTCGTAGTATTGCATAAGTTCCAAGTTCAAAAACAGTTTGTTCCTGAGTAATGTCACGGAAATTTCAATATCGAGAGTTGCAATCAGCATAGCATAGCAACGCCTAATAAGTTGTCCCGAGCTCATTTTTAATTTGAATCTTCCTTAGAGGACGCTCTAGTGTTTATCATGTCGACGATTCAGTTGACAATCAAAGCGTTTCGTGATCATATAATTGAAATAAGCAAAAATAAAAAAAAAAAAAAAAAGTAACATTCCTCTGCGTCTCATTTTAGGAACAAAACGTATAGTCGCAAAAAATGCTCGTAGCTCTAACTAGGGGGAATGATCTTTTATCAATGCTTCATTAGCTATAATACATTTCAGCTCTTTCGGCCAGAAAGATAATACAAAAAAAATAGAAATTGAAAAATAGAAATTTCTATACCCGCAGCTGTAATGGCATGTTCGCCCACACAATTACAGTGCCATAGCTAGTACATGTACCGATGTGAAGCCGACGCTTTTGGGCTTCTATTGGAGAATATTGTCTCTTATCGACGTGTTTGTTATCCAGCTACAATCGAACCCAGCTGATGCCGGAATAGTTATATTAACTAGGTTAGGTTAGATTCTATACAATATCTTCGAATGCAAACTGGATAGCACATAGGAGATCACAATATTGTACAGTCAAATGAAATGAAACGCGTACGTGATCTATTACAGCAAAACGATCTCAACAGAGTTAATAATTACTTCAGCGTCGTCGTTATGACTATCCGAATCGTACACCGCGCTCCTTCCCAGAAACACTTTACAAATATGTCTTCCTGGTAAACGCGTTTCCGTGTATATATATATAAACGAGGTACTCACCTCAAACAATCTACGCGTAGACGTTAAAGACAAATCTCGACGACTGCTAGTATACGATTCTATTATAATAATACCATACGATTTCTATTATAATAATAATAATAATAATTAGCTTTGCATATATAGACCGATTGATAGTAATTGCAAAATTATCAAGACTACACCCAACAGGTAAATAAGAAGCCTATGTTTTTATCTCATTTACTTTCTGCCTTCATCTACACGTAACATGATGACGCCTTATCTAGCCATGTCTCAAGATAATCACGTCTGTTTACGAACACTCTAGCGTTAAATCGTATACAATATGTTCCATAGAAATAGATGTTCCACGTTCTCTATCCATTTTGCTTGGCGTCGTGGCATTTATTAGTTCAGTTTACTCGATTGTTTGTTTGAGATATGGCAATCTACATTGTTTCGGTTTGTAAGACACTTCTTTATGTAGAACATATATAAGCTAGGTAATCGGCTCGCTGGTAGTTATGCTGTACGTGACCCATACGACTAACTGGTCATCTTGGTTCGGTCTTTCTTCTGCTCGCTGCCTGATTAGTTCGCTGTGGCGAGAATTGCACCGACACTCCAATACTAAGCCGCATTTTTCTCCTACAATATACGCGTTCCACGACCCAAACAGCTATCCACCATGCAAAAGCATTCTTCCATGTATTTTTCTCTTCGCTAGCGCTAATGCTTTACGTACGCTATACCGATCCCATCCGCCAAACGCAGCCTATGCTTATCACCTGATTAACCCTATGGTAGTAATCTGTTTAATGGCTTCTTTGTAGCTTTCACATCTTTAGTTCGCTTTTTCCAAAGTTTTTTTTCTTGGCGTTGTAGAATTCTCGGTCGTATTTTTTGTCGTCGTCTTGTCTCAGTCTTAGTTGATCGGCAAGTCGCCTTGTTCTCTGGCTAACCAGTGCAAAAGTCGTGGCCTGCGTCATGCTACAGAAATCGGTACTGGCCAACTCGCATCCCGCAAGACAAACCAGTTTTTGTCCTATTGTCTCCACACGCCCCGTATACTCGGTCATGACAATTACTTGCAGTTCGGCCGCGTGAAGCTGGGCCATGCTCGTTCGGTAAGGAAGAAAGACATAGTCGACTTTACCGCCATCGCCGGCGCATCAGAGGCAGAGAGAATAAGCGAAACAAGCGTAGGTGGCTGCCCTACCACGGCCGAAGCAGCCATTGCGAGTGGACTTATGCTATCCCTTCTAACTTCGCCGCTGACACCGTTACTGTTGTTATTGTTGTAGCTGTTTCAATGACTGTTCACGTTACTGCTACTTTTTCTCGTCTACGGAAACGATTGTCGTAAAAAATAAGAGCGGGTAGCGAAAGGGGACGAGAAGAATAGCACCGGAAAAAGTCGTACACGAAACTGGTATTGCTGAAGATAACGATGACGCTGATCTATTACACCTCTAATCTTCTGTACGGAACAAGTGGGTAGTCAGACAAATAGTACCTGCATATACAGAATACGAATAAATTGCGATAGCAGTGGCAGAAAAGATGGATCGATTAAGACCGACCAAATCGCCTCGCGTAACGAAAACAAAAAAGTCATGTGCGACAAAAAGGAAGTACCACAACTAGGACTTAAAAAGACACCTGAAAATCTGAAAATTAATGAAAGCTATGATCGTTTCATTAGCTGCTATTGCTGTTGGCTATAGTTGTAACAGTGAGGCATGAAATCGAGATCGGATACGAAAAAGGATCAAGCAAGCGGCTCTCGCACATTCTGCAGGATCAGCTGATCCCAGCTGATAGTTTAGCTAGCAAGGCCTGATTGGATGGGAAAAGTGTTGAATATTACAGTCCTGCTGGAGCTGGACCCGTTTGTATTCAATCAAAGCTTCCAAAAAGGCTCCAGGAAAGTATAGCCACGACGGTAGCGCGAGTAATTATAGCAAGGGTGAAAAGCAAACGTGTAAACTTGCCGCCGTCACCTGTAATAAATAACATCGCTATGATCTTTCGATGCTCGTTTACAGATTTTGTTACCCATGCGGCAGTGACATCTTTCGTCGTAGTGGTGGGCGTCTATAGCCAATACG